GGGAATCCCATGATTGTGATACTGCTCCAACAATTTGGAGAGCTTTGTCTCGCTATCGTGAAGATCGTCCACCATTTTACTCAGCTTTTCCCTCTGAGCCTGTGCGCGCTACAAGACGCATTTATAATTGTAATATACAATACGAAAAATCACTCGAGCACATTTTCCACATACAATATAAAGTATCGAATACTCACAGGATCGGAAGATTGACTAAGAGAGTCTATCATTGTCGCAGTGGTCCTGATGTAGTCTCTGATCTGATTTAAACGGGTCTCTACTTGGTGTCTATCGGGCTGGGACAAGATAGAATATAAAGATTACTAAAGGCCATGTCATTACAACCAAATTAAAATGATAGAAACTACAATTTAAAGTACAAATATACAGATGCAACGCGCTGTACCATCTTGTTCACATTGGAGGGCTTCGCCCCCTGTAATTGCGACGGCGACTGAGTCCTAGGATCAGTAAATGGTACCATTTTAAACCAAGGTATGTAATCTTCTGTACTGTAATTGCACTGTCTCGCCGAATTGTGCGACGCTGCAACAACGAGTAAAGTTGTAAAGTAAGTAAAATTAATGCAAAGTAAAAACTTATGCCGAGCACGCGACACAGGGAGAAGAGCTAAATATATGCCCTCACCAAAGTCGGGTGAGTCTTGGTACGTGGCAAAGTACGAAGAATGCAGCTGAGAGGAAGCTGACCTCGTGTTGCTGTTCTTCGCCTCCCTCGGTACTCTCGCCTCGCGCTCGCACTCGCTTGCCAGTCCAGTTGGCACTAATATACAAATCGTTTTTAGACAGCTAATTAAACTATCGCAAAACGTGGAGAAGCGGAAGCGGGCTCGCGGGTGCGCGTTGGAAGAAACGCTCGCAGCTCTACTGCGGATTCACCTCCATGGATATGTATTCTTAGAGTGAGAAACGCCCCATTACTCCGCGGTTTATTAATAGACCGAGAATTCGACACTGCTGGAGAGCAGCTTAACAGCGTATCCCTGGTCGGAGTAGACCTCGGGCGTCCTCTCTCACCCAAGTATCATTCAACTTGGGATTTCATTCAACTTATTTATATACTCACTTCCCACCTCTTGATCGCTCTATTACAACTATTCGTCCATCGTTACTTTTTCGCGTACGATTCCCCGGCGACCAAATACATACAACAAGCATTAAAAAATGGTAATTTGCACAAGACAAAGCTGACATGATCAACGATATTCAACAATTCCTTGAACCAATAAAATGATTAACTAAAAGAATATGTGTGCAATATGTCTCGTCGCTTTCTCTCCAAGTGGGTTACGCGGCTCTCGTGCCGCTGGAAAGCGGGGGAGAAGCGGTGCAGGGTTCCCCGGTGGATTTACCAAGTTGTTGAAGTGCTGCGGGTGGCCGTGGTAAGCCGAGCGGTTCGCGAGCTGCTGGTTAACGGCGGACCGCTCCCGGTTCCTGTCGTCCCTGCGGTTGCTCTTCGGCAGGGTGCCCGTGTTGCGGGGACCCGCGCCGCCGCCGTTGACTCCGGGCGACATCACCGCTTCCCCTCGCACCAGGCGTTCTCTCGGCGGTCCGAGACTGCGACCGCGGCCCTTAACCTCACCGCGCTCAGGGGCCGTTCGCGCGTCGGCCCCCGGGGATAGCCTGGACCAAGCCCGGAAGCGAGAACGGACGCGAGACGTCCTCGTGGAGAGGAGCACGTCGACCGCGCGAAAACACGACGAGGAGATCCGCGAACTCCGCGATCCCCACGGCGTTTCTTTACCTCGATGACGCGGATCGTGCGTCCGGTTGGCTCTTACGTCAAAATACTTGGCAGACGGCGCAGAGAGAATCGGGAATGCGACTATGAATAGAACGCTCGCGATCGCGTCCGCGGTCCGATACGCGTGACTCGTCGCGATATCACGGGAGAGATACGTGTTGCGGCCGTATCCCGGACGACGGCAATCGAGAATGTTTCCTTAACGCGCCGACACTGCGGCCATTTTTAAATGTCCCACGGGGGTGACGGGGGGGGGGGGGGTGACTTTGAACGAACGCAGACTATTCGAGCTGACTTGTCCGACGATTAAATGCGATTAAAGATACCGACGAATTAACGATATTAATGTACCCGGTCCTCCGTTTCGACGTTTTAAACCTGATTGCCGGGACTTTCTGAACGCTTTGCTCAGAAATCTCAGAACTCTAGACTAACAATAATTATTCTACCGAGGCCCTTGCCAGTGAGATGTTTTCGAACGGAAGCGAAATGGAAAAAGGATTTACAGGGAATCCCTCTTGCGATTTTTTGCGCTGTCTCATGTGTATTCAGCTATTCGCTGGTCCACGGATCGGGTCCCTCCGTAGCCGAACCTATCATATTTAAAAACATTTTTCATCCTCTTCCCGATGGGAATTATGATCCTGCGATTGGCGATCCGTGGTTTCGGCTCCACGAGACGTCGCCCTCCCTGCTGGTCCCGGCTGCTCCTGCCGTCTGCGGCAGTCCGCGCTCCGCGGTGGTTTGCGGCGAGGCTCGGTGCGCCGATATTTATACGCCCAGCCAACACCGAGCGTCGACCAATCGGTGCTCGACCCAGCGGCGCGCCGCGTTCATTGGCTGGTGCGTTGGTGGTGGGGAGCTGAGGTATATAAGCAGGTATAAGCGGCATGCAGGGGGTCCGCGCCGACCGCGCAGCACTAGTGAGAGCGTCCGCCGATGATTGACTCTGCGTCACGTCGCACGGGCAACTCGACCGTAACTTCGCTCGAGAATCTCCCTTCAAAATCCCGAGGCTTCACAATAGCCAGGATCTTTGCTAGAAGCTGCTTGCAAACAGACTTTTCTGTTTCTTTTCGTTTATTATTCTTTAAACATCCCTATCGTTGTATGACATTTAGCAAGGTAAAGTATTGAGTTTCTGGCAGGCCTAGAGGTTTTAAAAGATTCACCGTATCGTCCTCGTCCAACTTCGACCTCTACTCGGGTGGATCGTTTCCAGTGCCCGTTCTACTACACCTAGCGGTGATCCTACTTGTGGCTCATCCGAGTGAGTAAATAAATGGACAAAGATCGTATTGAGATTTAGAGACTCGGGTGCTATTTCTACATAAGACTTCAAAATCATAGTAAAATCATACAGAAAAACCGTACTTAGTATGATAGTCATACTAAAATACCGTGTAAACTTCTCCACTCGGATAAGCCAAAAGGATCGTCTTTGTTATTTTGTCATTCGCCAAATGTTAAAGAAGGATAAATGATGCATCATAGAACGCATCGTAGAACGGGCTTAAGGGGATGCTGGAGTGATTCTGCACTTTCGCACCTTTCGCACTTAAAACTGTCTGTTTCGTGGAAAGATTTGTGTAATACACAAATTAAATGGCACGTGTACAGATGATCGAAAGCAGCTTGCTATTCCGGCTAAATTAAAGAACAATATGATATCACTGAAACTATGTTTGTAAGTCTAATAAAAAATAATAGTGAGCAACACATATACTACATGTACTATATGTATGTGTTGCTCACTATTATTTCTTATTGGACTTATAAACTTAGTTTCAATGATGCCGTATTATTCTTTCATTTGGCCGGAATAGCGAGCTGCTTTCGATCTGTACACGTAAGTCATTTAATTTGTATATTATACAAATGTTTCCGCGAACTCACAGTTTTTAGGTTAGGAAGGTGCAAAAGTGCAGTCACTCCAGCATCCCCTTAAGCGTCGCTGATCGTAACGAGCACGCGGTGGTCGACAGCTGCTGCCAACTGGTGCACGCGAGCAGATGCACAGCTCGATGCGTTTCCCGAAATGTCGGCCACGCAGCGGACTCTTCGCTTTCCAGGGCCTAAATTCCGTACACGATTACCGACGACCATCGATACGTTAACGACGTTTGCGCAGCTTTTTCTACATGATAGAAAAGCTGCGCAAACGTCGTTAACGTATCGATGGTCGTCGGTAATCGTGTACGGAATTTAGGCCCAGGGCGTCCGCGGGAGCGAAGGGTGGATCGTTCAGTGGTCGCGCCAGCGTAACAATTTTAGAAAGACGAAACGAAGACTTAATTAAAGGACATATATAATAGAAAGGCTTGTGGCGGTCATGCTGGATATCTTAGTGCCCAATACTTTGCGTATACATCTTTTTTTTAGCAGAGCAATTGCGCGCCGATAACTTTTTCGGTCTTGAAGCACGGTATTAAACTAAAGTCGAAATAACTGATTAAATTAACTACCATTAATAATTATACCAATTAAGCATGCTTCAGAAATAATCGGAAAATAATTATCATCTGAAAATTTAACTTCTCTCTCTCTCTGTCTTTCTGTTTTACATTTTTGTAAAATTGACGCAGTCTTTCCCCTCAGGAGGGCGTAGACTGCTGCAGGCGAGCGAGCCCGAGCTAGCGGGGAACGATATAATAGTTACAACTGCACGCCGCCGGCGATCAAAGAATTCCCGCCCGACGGTCTCACGCGGCAGCAAAGACAGGCAGGATTCATAATAATCCGCTTCGTCATCGCTATTTATCTGTTTTTATTACTTGCCATTGTCTGCGACGACTATTTCGTTCCCTCTAAGAAAATTGGCGAGAGCGAGTACAAGAAGATCGTTCGGCACACCCACCGTTTTCTTTTACGTGACCTTAATTATCATTACATGATCAGTCGTATATTACGCTTATCTTATATTACTTCAATTTATTTTTAATGTATATTTAATTAACTTCGCTTTGTAAAATAAGTTCATTTTTACAACATTTGGATGTCTTAATGATGTCACAAATACGTGCTCTCGGTGGGCTATTTTGACGTCACCATGATGCATAAAAAATGATCAAAAAATGATGTCATCTTGATGTCTTCATGGCTAATACGTTCTACTTGGGACGCAACATGGTTTGAACACATTCAAGTGGAATTATTTCAGCATTACTATTCCCACATTGAGAGATTGGAGATTAGATATTTAAAAAGTATAAGCAAAACTAAAGCTACTCGGTATGTATTTCAATTAGTTTTATTTCCCTGTTTATTTACTTGAAGGCTCATGATAATTGTCCGCAGTCCGCTATCATGATCTTCTGATATGTCTTGCCGGTCGACGAGCCGAAAGTTTCAATTTTTCTCACAACATCCATGCCGTCGGAAACATTGCCGAACACAACGTGTTTATTGTCCAGCCAGGGTGTCTTTATCGTGGTGATAAAGAACTGCGAGCCGTTCGTATTCGGGCCGGAGTTTGCCATAGACAGCGTGCCCATCGAGGTGTGCTTGAGCTCGAAATTCTCATCCTCAAATTTCTCCCCGAAGATAGACCTACCGCCCGTGCCGTTGTGATTTGTGAAGTCGCCCCCTTGACACATAAAATTTGGTATTATACGATGGAAGTAGCTCCCCTTGTAGCCGTAACCCCTCTCCCCCGTACACAGGGCACGAAAGTTTTCCGAAGTTTTCGGCACAACGTCGGTGCGCAATTGTATCACGATTCGTCCCAATGACTTATCCTCCACGGAAACGTCAAAGTACACCAATGGCAAGTTCATTTTGTTCTTGCGACCATTCATCGAGGTGTAAGAAGCTAGAACGAAGCATAATGTAAATTATTGGAAAAATCAATTGTTGTATAATTCGTGTGACCAAAGATCCAGCTAAGTTTCAATGAGCCTTGCTCTATCTTGTAATATTTATATATTACTTTTATTCGCTTACACACAGTGCCTACGGATTTACATTCATTATAGAAATTATGAATTTATTTCTCGCTGTTTTGAACCGACGCGATTGTTCTGTATACTTGATTGGAATTTGCCTTCTGTATATTTACCGTGCGTAACCTCTTTTCCTTCTTCTCCTCTTAGCTGTTTATTTCTTCAAATACGATGTAATCCTTTTCTCTCGCAGTTTCCTTTAATCCGAGTTTCGTTGTGACTCGGACCGTGTCGCAGGACGTTTGAATCACCACATGTAACTGCCGAATAATCATTAGTACGTATTATTCTGTAGCTCCACGTGCTTTACAAGGACTAAAGTCTTCAGAACATCAGGCTATCAGCGATTTTTGAAATTCTCTGCTGCGATTGGTCGACTGACTCGCCGGTGAAACCCAAAGGCCGGTATTCATAGCAGAGAAAAGCCTGAGAGCTGTCAGAACTGAGCAGATGGGCCAATGAAATGTTCCATACGACATTTTTCGCGGCTGCCGCGCCGTTCGGCCAATCATCGGTCGCGTCGTCATCGGCGGCTCCCCCTCTGCGCATGCGCGCGCAACGTCGTCTCGACCCGACGGCCGACCACTGAAATATACAGGGTGTCTTGAAATTCGCGAATCAAAATACCATAGCAAGAAAGTCGTCGAAAAATAAATTAAAAAGTTATTTGCCATTTTTCGTTCCGAGCAGTAGTTTTTTTAGATAAAAAGGTTCAAAACAGGCCAATCATACCTTACGGTTGAACGGAAACCTGTCCGTGAGTCGCGCGTCGATAGTGTTAGTGCATTAACACTATCAACGCGC